AGTCCCACGGGATAAAGACATAATAATATTTTTTCTAAATTTCCCTTTAAAAAACATTACCCTCCTTCTTTGGCAGTCGGGTAAAAAATATGTATGCGGTATCATTAGATTCATTTCAATCACGGGAGTAATTAATATAGGATACGTTTTTTCTCAAAATTCCCACGGGAACATGTTAATTCTGCGTCAACGCAAAGCAACTCATGCGTTAGCAAGCAAAAAGATAGGGCGTGGCCTGGCATGCGGCGCGCGGCGCGGTGCGGAGGGGGATATGCTCGAGTATACAGCCCGATTGCGGGCACACGCATGAGGGCACACGTCGTTGACGGTCGTCTCTAAATAGCGATTTTATTCGATATATCCCTATTTGTATATATCGAAATAAAAACAGCTAAAAAGTTATAAATAAAAAAATTATTATTAAAAAAACAAAATACCCGACTGCACACTAAAAAAAGAGTAAAACAAGCCCCACAATAATATTGATCAATCAAATGCTAAAAACTAATTATGTAATACCGTTTAAACAATACCTATATTAAAATACACTACAATATGTGTTCGTAATCGATAGTTAAATAAACAGAAACTTATTTTGAATACAAATTTACTGAATATAATTTATAAATGTTGATGGAAAGCATCGCAGGCGGGGACCACCTTGACCGCCACCAACGAAAATTCTGCTAAATGGTGCACAACCGAAATGACTATAAATAAGCCTCTGTTGGTCCCCGCCTGCGATGCTTTCCATCAACATTTATAAATTATATTCAGTAAATTTGTATTCAAAATAAGTTTCTGTTTATTTAACTATCGATTACGAACACATATTGTAGTGTATTTTAATATAGGTATTGTTTAAACGGTATTACAAAATTAGTTTTTAGCATTTGATTGATCATTTATATGAGAAAAATAAAAAGGACGTGTCTAATATTATTCCGTTATCTAACTGACGGACTAATCAGATTTTGAATGTTCATATCTTATTAACTACCTTATTGTAGTTATTGTTTATGGTAACGATATAAGGTCCCTTAATATAAGATGAGGTACCTATCCTAACGGTGTAATATTGTGTGAATTTGATATATTTCCTGAGTCATTAAAATAATTTCACTGCCTAACTTGCATGATTTGATTTTTTGCAAATTAAACAGCGAAAATTTCAAGTTTAAAGTTGATCCACATTTAATCTTATACCAAAATTATACAATAGTAATTGTTTAACACTTCGATAATCGTAATGAATGGGAATATGTACTATATTATTGTTAACTACGTATTTCTAACCACTCAACCATAGAACCTTCTAGAACAGACTCAAACAATAACGTATTCATTGCTCAGTTCACAGCATATTGATGTATACTATAGCACAGACAACAGCGCATCAAGCTATCTCAATATATGAAATTCCTTCAATAGATATCATACTCTATCATTTTATGATTAAGTCTGAAATCGATTGGAGGTAGTGTGTAGCTTGATGTGCGTTTGTATAGATACGTTAGCTATTGTTTGGTAGCTCTGTAGTAATCAATTTGCTTCGATTGGCCACTACAAGTTCTATGTATGTGTGTGTAGGATCAAAACTGAAACTCGTACTGCTTGTTTTGTTTGCTTTGCGAGCACTGAAATGTTTGTGTTCGCTTTCAACGATACTAGATCGAAGTGTTAGCTGCAAAAAATATTTGACTATATTTTTTTGTGTTAGAGTTTCATTGTCTTGAGTCCTTTTCGTTGATCTGTAAACAATTTAGTAAAGATCACAACTTTTTGGGTGTTAAGATTATTATTGCACTTAATTTATTTATTTATCATTTCATGTACATACGGCTACACATCGAGCTTTATTTTTTATTTATTTTATTAACACTTCTGTATAACAAACATACGATGGCGGACTTAATGCCGGGTGGCATTCTCTAACAGTCAACCATGGGGTGATGCAGAGATGTGCAACAGTAGGTGTAATAGGTATAATGGTTTATGTGATGCATAACTGTAAATACATACATATATCCGTATATATAGGTATAATGTAAATTACATAAGATACATTATCAATATTACTAAATAACAATACTATATATATAAGTGAATAAATAAATTGGGAATAAAATTACATATAATATATATATATATATTTATACATATATATTAAATACAATCGCCAAAATGATAAATTAAGTACGTGATGCGTCTGTCTGTTCCCTCTGCAATAGTTCACGAACCTTAGCTTTACATAACCAGTATAAACTGAACGTTAAATGTGTGGAAAGATGATGCGACGCGACACCAGGATAAACTGGTTTTGTATAGATTGATGTGTGGCCGTGTGTACCTACACCACACAGTAGACAATATAACAAAGGACAACACATACATACATAGGTACTGCATATTCCTTAGGATTTCTTGCGACAGGAAAAGGAATTTAAACATTAGACACAGTATAACTGTTACATGCAATGAGTAGAAAACAACTTAATGATAGAATAGAAATCAATATCAGCCTGTATCGGCACCTCTTTATCATCTTCATCATCATTCTTCGTCATTATTAGCCATAATATATCCGCTGCCATGAAGATAGACCGGCTTCCAGATCATCCCGTTGGAAGACACCTACATGCGACCTCTGTTGGGCACGACTGTCACACTGCTAAACAAACAAAATAAATAGATTTCAGATAGAAGATTGCAATCGCCAACCCACATTGAGCAAGCGTGGTGATTAATGCTCAAACCTTCTCCATGTGAGAAGAGGCTTTGCTTAGCAGTGGGCATTAATAAGCTGTTCATGTGATGTAATATATTATGTACCAATATATACATATTATAGTTTTAAGTAGTATTTTTTTTGCAGTCATTAAAAGTTGTACTCTAGCTTCATCCAAAGATTGTCTGTAAGAGATCGCCTTGTGCGATAAGACCGCCGATTGTGTACTATATTTATTGTCTGTTATCCTATGTGTTTCTCCGCGACCCGTTAGGTTCTCCACGACTATAGGCCCAATAGGGCCGATGCCGATTCGGAGTCGCGGAGAACCTAACGGGTAACCGGGGCTCCGGCTCGACGTGCAGGAGAAGGAACGGGGTGGTTTTTAGTCAGTAAGAGTTTGACACTCCCTCCCGCCTCACCCAGGCGGGAGCAGTCATTCGATGATTTTCCACCTTAAAAAAAAAATCCTATGTGTTTATGTGGTGTGCAATAAAGTATTTATATATAAATAAATAAATATAACATTATAATATGTATCCAAAACAGTATTTGAATTAAATGAATAGTCCGCAACAGGAACACAACAGTACCGCCATTAATATTTCCCGCGAGTTCTCGGCCCACGATACATTACTCAGCTTGCACTATAAAATTCTAAAGAAACTCGTTTCCATTCCCTCCAGATGGAAACATAAAGGGGTTCTCCCATTATCCATTTTTATCGTGTCTTCATACAATGAAACTCGATATGAATAATGGCAGAACTATATACGTCAGTGAACTAAGATATAAATCTTTCAATAATCGATGTTGTTCCGATGTTTATTTATTGCATCGATACTCGAGTATCGAGATCTCGATGCGAGTATTTTTTTCTCGATTATAACAATGGGTGATTTATTGTTGTGTTGCCAGGTCGGGCTTTGTTGGTGTCTTCGTTAGATGTTAGATTACTTATCGATGCAATTGGAATGTCTTAATTTTGTTGATTGTGACTTATGATTGGTTGGATACGATTATGTATCAATGTATGTTTTGGTACATACTTATTCAGTCTCACATTGGGGTAGGTAGAGACAATGTATGCCAAATTACACTATTAATTTAATATGAGATTCATTTCTGGAAAATACTGAAAACATCCTATAATGCTTGACATGGTTAGGAGTCAAACCTTCTTGTAAATTGTCAACACTTATGACGTCATCTTATAACAGATTGACAAAGTTTAATAACTCTAAATAAAATATAAAATATACTCAATATACAAAACTATGATATACCTAATATACTAATAGTAGTGACCTCCATCCAAATACTAAAGTGATGTGAAAATAGGGTAACAGGGTAACACAAGTGTGTTATTTGCTGCTAGTGATGTTTGGTTACCCTAAATGTTTACTTAGGGTCAGTAGTACTTACCCACTGTCGATATTTTTATGTTCAACACAAATTCTATTTAATACTTCTTCTGTGTTGAGTTTTTGTTATGACGTAAAATATAATATTCGATATTTAATTCCCCGGTTATATTCCCCGGTTATATTGTTATATTCTGTTAAGATTATCATAATGAGAAGTATAGCCTGTTATCCATTTCTCATACAAACTTTTTGCTTGAATTGAGTATTAAAAAAAACACAAAATCTCGAATCGTATTCTGCGGAACCAGTGAATAAACCCAAAACTCATTTTACCAAATAAGCTCTCGACGCGACAAAGTAATAGATTTTTATGACGTATTCAAATTTTGTATAATACTTCTGTATATGCCAACTCATAAAAACATGTAAATGGACTTTACACAACCCTTCACATTTTAATTACAAACTTTAATTAATTTAGGCATGTACATTATTTATTTTAACAGGTTTTATCTTTCGAACGATAAATAATTAAACTTCTATCAATGTAATCAATTGTTCTGTGTTCTATAATTACATGACAGCAACAATTTGGACCTACATTTGAAATTTACAAGCTGATTGTAAAAATATTATGTTGACCCAGTCATAAAAATAGGTAAATTGTACGCACAGTCATTATAAACATTTATTCGAATTTTTAAAGCTAAAATGATACATTTACACAAATTAAATTTTATAATGGCTGAGTAAATGCACTGTATTTTAGTTAACTTTTTAGTGAATAAGTTTTTATGTAATTTAAATAAGTTAAAAAACATGCCACAACCTTTTAAAACATTTAAAAATAAAAAAGCGAAAATACGACAACCGCTCGCGTTCCAAATATGAAATCTTCTTGGCAGACGAAGAAGAAACCGAGCCGCCAGAATTATATGTGACAGAAGAAATTGAAGAAGCACCGTTACCCCCAATTTTGGCGCCACAAATGCCAACTGTTAATGACACTGGCAATATTTATATTCGATATTTGACACGTAAGTTATTCTGAATTTAAATTCATTGATTCTTCTGTTACAGGTCCGTTGATTCTTCCGGGGTGGCGATGTGATTGTTATTTTTTAGTTCTAATTCTATTTGTTTGATTCGGTTCTAAATTTTGTTGTGTGGTAAAAAATTAAAATTCTATGGACTTTTTTTAATCGTAACTAAATTAAATTCTGCATCTGAAGGCAATTTATTCACATAAAAGTATCGATACTACAATTAAGTACTGAAAATTTAAATCCACAATTTTTATCCATCCGTATAACAGTTATTCGCCATTTTCAGCTACCAAATAGAATTATGCAAATGAATGCTTCACCGTACAGTTCAATATAATAAATTTCATACAGTTTAAATCGCAATACACTTCTATTCGACCCGCAAAACCGGTTATAACCGGTAACGTCCAGATTATTGTCATAAATTGCCTATGCGGATATATGCGACCGAACGGCGTATGCACATTTCGATTAACTCTATTGGGCGACGTAATGAAATGCTCCTGTACAATAAAATTAAATCCGTCGATGTCGTAAATTGATTACCTACATGTAATCATTTCAAATAAAAATTGGGACATGTTTTGTTTTAAATAGCCTTTGTTATTGGATTTTTATTGGTACGGTCGATGGGTTTCACAATTAAACCAAAAACATTTACATTAAGACTGTAACTGTAACACTAGGGGTTTATGAAACGTTCGAAGCGAAATAACAAAGATGGAACACAAAATTAAACGTCCGATATCTAGTTCGAATTGTAGCTGGCCATTAGCATGTTCAAAATTCGAATTCCGAAACCGAACGACCATTCTGCCAACATTAAATTCATAATGGACATCCTACATAGTGTTGGACACACGACACATTTCTTCCTTGTTTTTGCGATCGTAAACGAGCATCGAGTCGGCAACTCGGCATTATCGAATCGCAAGTGCTATCATAAAGCAAACGAGACAGCATCGAAACGATTTCGTTCAACTGTATAATGAATACTCGATAATAATTGATCGCAATATTTCTCTTTGTTACTCGAGTTTCTCGTTTGCGGGAACTTTATGACGTCACTGCTCGGTAATTGGTATCAAGCATCGAGCGAACAATGATTGATGAGCGTGTATGAACCCCTTTTTTAAGCGGTAATCGCATTTATAATGAGGAAGGAGATGATTAGTGGAGTTGCACGTAATCTAGTGTTGTTTTAGAAAGCTAAAGCAGTACTTTGCTATTTACAAAAAAAGTCCGAATAGTCTGGTTTGTGATTATTATACAATGTGTAAGGGAACGCCCTAGAAAAGCTGACAAAGAGGAATTGTTATTATATTTTTAATCGTTTTTGTTTTCCTTTTATTTATACAACATCAGCCTTAAGCAGTTGATGACAACTATCACTACATATTGTTGTAGTATAAAACAAAGTCGCTATCCGCCGTCTGTCTGTCCCTATGTATGCTTAGATCTTTAAAACTACGCAACGGATTTTGATGCGGTTTTTTTTATAGATAGAGTGATTCTTACGGAAGGTTTATATGTATAATACATACATATTACGTCCGTGCGAAGCCGGGGCGGGTAGCTAGTTATTACATAAAAGAAATATTTAACTCTTTACTTTTATGAAAGTAGAAATTGTTTTTTACCACCTTCTGTCAGCGTTTTTCGCAAGCGATCCATTTACAATCTGAATGAGAAACTGCAGATTAATTACGAAAAACTTCATAGAAGAGTCGAACTAAAAATGGTCAAAGTCACCGTTAAAATAATTTGATCATTTAAAGCTTATCACCGGTGACCGTATCAATTTAACACCGCGGTGGCGTCTAGACTCGTCGTAATTTAATCCGGTTGGCGCTAGAGTGACAGGAGCAAAAAAATAGTGGAATTTTTTTCTGAATGCGTGCGTCGGCACGTCCCGACGCCCATTTCAATCCGTTCACATATAAAACGTGATCATTCACCTCTACCGGTGAGGAATAAACAAATCCGTCATAGATTTGACAGGCCCGTAGGCAACGTGATGCTAAAGCAAATATTAGACGCTAGGCTCTGTACCCTACTGTGACGTTGCAAGGGACGCTTTCAAGCACTTGTAAGCGCTTTAATAAAGCTAGATCATCATATATAACGAAACATAACATAACAACACGCCTTGTATCCCCGAAGGGTATGTAACACCCACTTTTCACTATTTATGTTATGAGTCCCATGTAATAGGGGGTGAGCCTATTGCCATATACCGGGCACAATTCCAGACTCCGTGCTACTACTGAGATTTTTTTAAAACCCAGTAATACTTTGCCGGGTCCGGGAATCGAACCCGAAACCCTGGCCAACGACGCAGTTCTTTAAATATCTCCTTAGAATATCGCGTTAGTATGAAATGTATTATTAACAGTAGGTTATACTATATAATTTGCTGTACATACTAAATAAATAATTGGCTGATTCTCCACCTCAAACATGCAGAGAAGGCTTTAATTTGTTATTAAACTAGCTTCTAGTACTCAGTACAGTATTTACTCAAAAATATTTAATTTAACTCACAAACAGAATAATAGAAATATTTGTATTATTACACAATCTCTTTGCTTGTTCATCTGCTAATTCAACGAGATATTTCAAAAAGCACAAAATGAAATCCGATTGGATATAAAATAAAATTCGACGCACATAACTCATTACGTCATTAAAGTCCATCGTCTTTCAGAGAAACCATTAAACGAATATAAATCTTATTCACTTTAATGGAATTTAAACCGAACGTGAATCCATCATCGAAAAGAAATAACACAAAACCACTATTACTCTTAATTAATCTACTTGTATCAAATCTGGATACCTGGATACGGAACCACGTAATTAATAACCATTGCCAATCAGCAAGCAAATTTCAACTTTAATATAGCTTACTGTCAATATAAACTCAATTGACAGCACTTCACTGTACAACACACAATAGCATTGAAAACCTCCATTCACATACAATTAAGGCTCTCTTCAAACTGTTTTACGCCTCGGCGTTTAGCGCTTACAAGTGCATAGAATGCATGTACGTATGTAGGTATGTAGCCATCCTTATTACACGTTACGTTAGTTGCTGACTACAAACTCACACGAGCCGCGCCCTGGGACCTCACTCCGTCATTCAGTATGAATTGTTCCATCCCCTCTCCCATCCCTTTTATCCCCCTATATCGCGCGAGATCCGATCTACCTTTTTTGATTTCTCTAATCTGAGCCTCTCCGCAGTGTCCATTCTATGAATATATTAACTTTTGTGTGACAATCCTCAAAAAAATACGTTACTCCGTACGTTTATTAATGCCGCTTCGATCGCATCGCCCAAGGGACGGTACGTGGAACTAAACGGGATTTCATTTTCTAGTTCAGGAATCAAACGCTCCCGCGGCGTTTGTCCAATGTTCTTTTTCGAGATGGTCCCTTTAGATAGGTATTTTTGTTCCGGACCGTTGACCGAGACGTCGGAAAAGTTGCTCTACGTGTCTACATAATTGTTTCGTGGCTGTACTCGCATTTTTCGACAAGATAATGCCATTAATCTCGTTGCGAATAATGAAAATGTACCGCGGGACGCTCAGTGCTCTTCCTGTGTAATTTTGTGGAAAACAATTCCGTAGAATTGTCTCCGTGTGTCGTGAGAGCTGAAAGTTTCCGGCAACTTTCAGCGACTCTTCGCTCAAGAAATTAAATTTATCTGTCGCGACTGTTTACGAGTGGGTTACGTCCAGAAAGTCGTAGTCTCAAATTGGATCTAAATAGTCGGAGTGCTCCTTAACACAGTTTTAAAGTAAATGATGACGATTTTGTTTATCTGTCGTATTCGAGTCTTTTTAATACAAAAAGGATCTCACTATTCAATTCTTATTATTTCTACATGGAGCGACCGCTGTCCAACCCTAGGGAAATTAGGATTTCACAATGTAATGTCATGGTGCTTGTGGTTAGACGAAATCGTACGCCCGGCGGTCAGGTACCGAGTGTGTGGATTCTATCTAAACGTTCTAGTTTTGTTTAAGACTAGTGAAATATTTAATGCTCTCATTGTAACTACCACACAGCGAAATTTAATTTAGTTATATAACTGTGTATTATACATACAATTGGTACAATTGTACTTTGAACAAGTGGGTTTAAGGTCAATTAACAATATATTATATATATTTTCTGTTGTTTTTATGATTATTTATGTTATATCGAACATCGATTAATACCGAGTACCAAAATCAACCTAACAATCAAATACATAAAGCATTTTATCCTTCACAGATCCGCCGGAGATCACAATCAGGCCTCGGAACCTGCAGGTGAAGGCGAACGGTATCGCTGCCTTCTACTGCGCCGCGAGAGGAGACCCCATACCCAACATACAGTGGAGAAAGAACGGCAAACGAGTATCTAGTAAGTATTGACAGATAGACAAAATCTCTATGAAAATAGCTGCAATAATCTTATCTCTCGCCTTTGATCAGCTAAAGTGCAAATCACACTAATTACAAATATGAAAGCTTCTTTGTTTAAATGTTTGTTCGTCAATCACGCTACAAATGAACGAAATTTGATGAAATTTGGTATACAGACTGACTCGTGTGATAGGTGATAGGATATCTTTTTTATCCCGATCAAATGCATCCCTGGCATGAAACAGGCATACGCGGGTAAAGCCGCGGGTAAAAACTAGTTGATTATTATTCATTACTCCTCTGGCTCTAAAAATACCAGCCACCTACATTATACTCCTTATATGTTGCTGATGTCCTTGGGCGGTACTGTTGGCTTGCTATCAAGTGATCCGTCTACTCATTAACTCCCTATTCCATATATTTTAGCTGTATAGTCTACGAAATTAGTTCAAGAACCATAGTAATTGCTAACCCACTTGTTCCTAATTGAGCCAATTATCTTCCTGAACTATACCTTCACCTAACTATGAGAATTTAGGCCGTTTAATGGTCTAGATCATAGTTTAGGTGCAACGACCTGAAAACCTGTGTTAGCTACAAACACACACATGTCCAAACTAATGTCCAAAGAGAAATATTGCAAACAAAGGAATAGGAAATTATGGGTGAAAGTTTGACAACATTTTAACAAAAAGTGCTTTTATTTCGGCAAAGTATTTGAGGACGAAATATTACCATAGGCAAGCTCTGAGCCCTGTAAGTGTAAACAATACATCAAGGGACCAAAAGCCCAAACAAAGCCGAAGTGGAACCGATATCAAAATCCAAACTGCAAGACATTACTTCCACTATTTTTATCCTTGATTGAAATGTAGAGCCACGTTTTTATCCCATAAATATCTTGGCCGGTAATGACGTCTATAAGCTTTGGGCAATGAGCTGAAAAAACGTAACGTTTGGCCACGCACTCTACCCCCCCCCCCCGCACCTGGCCGCCCCTCAAAATGGCGTACCCAGTAAATAGTTTCATTGGATCCTATGAAAAATGTAATCGTACATCATTGGGGGGAATCAGTGACCATAAAAGAGTAATGACCTCGTTCGCACCCACCGGTCTCATTCCATATTCAACGTTATCAAAGTTACTTACGATTTGTCCAACTGTCGACGCGTGCGATCCATCAAATGTTGTCACGGTTTGTGCGGATTTCTTTGAACATGGAATTGTTTTTTTTTCTCTCTCCTCTTACCTTTTTTCCGGAGTTGTTTATGTTTCTTGATTTGTTTTTTTTACTGCTTTAGCGTGAAAGATTTTTGGTATCTTTTAATTTATGAGACACGCTTAGAAGCGTTGCGTTTTAATAACAATAAGTAAGTGAGGGGAGTTTTAAGTTTAGACAATCGTGTCGTATTATAATAAAGAAAAAAATACATAGTGTTATTAACAGTTAAGAAATTAATAGATTAATGTTTGGCCACTATGAGAATACAAAAAAAAAACTAAAATAATATGTCAAAGCGAATGTGGTTATAACAAGGAAAGGCAATAAGCAAAATTTTGTTTATTTTGTTTCCTAGAGATATTGTCTATTAGATAGTTTGACACTTTCGTGCGTGACCTTTTATACTCTGTGGCAGTTGCGCTACGTGTTTCCGTGTGACTTATTCTTTTTGATAACTGTTTGAGTTATCAATATTTATTTTGTTATTAAAGCATCAAGTGGACTAAGTGTTATGTAATTGATGATATTAAGTAACACAATATAGTCTACGATCATAATAAAATTAAACGTGTAGAATATATTTATTTAATCGTTTGACAAAAGAGAACAGGATTCCATTTAATTAAAACGACAAAGTTCATAAGTTGACGTTATATCCACTGAACTTTGACAGGTCTCAATCCGTAAGTATTAACTTTGGAGAGGCGTCGGAAACATTTTGTTTCGAAAATCGAATCTACGTTCCATAAAATTCTAATTTCACCGACAGCGGTACACTAAATTCGCTGATAGCTGTGGCCGGCCGACTAGTTGCCGGCGGCAAAACGTTTTTGTGACTGTTAAATTGTGACAAAAATAGTTCTGTTTATTTTATTATTCCGATACTGCTCGCTGACCTAGTTATAAAAATAGTTTTTAGAAAATATAACCCATATTTTGACGATAAAAATACAATATTTAATGCTTTAGTATCAGTGCATTGCCTTGTGCTGAGCTAAACCTCAATTTACAGCCTATCGTATTTTTCCCCTAACATTTTGTTCCAGCCACCGGAAAATAATTCCACAAGGAAACCACGTCTAAATAGTTTAGCCGCTTTTTCAGCTGTACATGCGGCAAACAATTTGAACGTAACGTTTCCAACAAACTGAGCAATAAAACTGACGACGGAGCAAAGTCACAGCGCGCGTCACACGCTAGATTGACAATCACGAGTCGCGTCGACATGTCGGCCGCCATGATGGATGACGCCTGGCCCCCACCGCAGATAGGGATGTGCTGTGATACTAAGCCGTACGGCCTTATGATCTCTGCTTATAACGATTTATCTTCTGTTTTTAATTACTTTTTATTACGTCTCGGCTAAGCTAAATTGTATTACGAATTTTAATCTCGTGTAGGAATAGTAAAAGCTTGCTAGGTAGATAAGAAATTGGGAATACGAAGGTATTGGCTTTCCACTATTTTGTCCTGTGAATAATCAGTGTCCGGAAACCTGCTTTGATTTCCCAATTCTTGGTATAATTTCATATTATTAAATACGTGGAACTACATTTTGGTCTAGAAGTCAACTGTAGCACTATCCTTTAGTTCAAAGTTACCGTAGAGTACCGTCACACAACATTGTGATGGGAGAATTTGTGATATATTAAATGCGTGATGTAAATTAATACCAATCAAAATTCACTTTATTTCCTTAATTTTAAATTCCTTATTTCACTGGTCACTCACTTATTGACACCTAACTGAATTCTAAAATTGATTGTAACAAAGAACCTCATCACGTCACTTGGAGCTGTGGCATACATAAGCATGAGCCGTAATTATTCCATTCCCAGGCTCCCTCTATCAGCCCACGCCGAAAACCAATCGAAAAAGTTCCATATTTCAACAGGCACGATGTCTATTAAAACTGATTTTTTCTCTTATCCGTATATATATATATCGATCTAGACATAACCAGTGTATCATGGTCTCGGTTTATATAATCTTTTAGAACATTCGACGGTCAGTTTATACTGGTTGTGCATAGCTTGACGCGTTGCCGGTTGTACGAAGCTACCTCCTTTAATATTTCTTTCTGACCACGTGTTTCTGATATAACTTTACGACTGTTCTTTTTTTATTACGAACCTTAGATCTTGTGTGGGGAATGTGTAGTGTTGGTCTCTTTTCGCCTGACATTGAAATGCCCAAATCTGGTTGTCCTATAACTTTTACGAATATGTCGATGAAAGTGAATAAGATTCATTTCTGATTTCAATTCATACTACATTGCGTTACAAAGAAAATTAAGAGTAGTAGTAATGTCAAAAAGAAATTAAATTTGAAAAGAATAAAAATTATGAAGTCCTCACACAATTTCTGAGTTATTTATTCTATATTACCTTACCAAAAGGGTCGTAGATCTAGGATTTGTACCAAGTTGCAACAGTGAGCTATGCCACGCACGCTGCTCATGAGGAAGAACCCCTCTATAGTTCGAAACTAGTAGAGCTTTTCTCGGTATATCCACGTGAGTAACCCACGATTTTAGTTAAATTGCAACAAAATGAAATTAATTCTAAACACTACTGAAATAATAAATTATCAAATACAGGCATTTAAAGCTGATTCTTGATCTCGCATAAAAAACTTCAACCGCAATAAAAAAAAAACAATCTCTAGTAAACCAAACATATTTTTTCACAGAACAATATTTTAAACCTATGGTATTATTTGTATCGTCCAAAAGAATGACAGCTAGTAATGTTGTAGTCGATTCATTTATTCCCGAGGCACATCTCTAGTTCCATATAAACTCTATACACAAGTATAATAAACATATGAAGTAGTTGCACGGATTTTATTGTATATTTTTATTACATTTTATTTATACGTTGTCTATGAAAAGAGAGGGTGACGTGGGGAATTTCAAGTATCGTTGTGTCAAGCTTATGAGTGCTTTGATTGGTTGAATAATACATCGATTTATATTTTAGTGCTGCGGTGACGGTGTATCGATATTGAGTAGGGATGTGGTGAATGTCAAAATGTTTGTTTGTATAACTGACGTGTGTCTTGCAGATATGCGCTTGATGGATGTTTTTATTCTAGATTTTGGAGATACGTGTTTAAATTGATGTTGTGGTTTTTGAAGATTATGTTTCAAGCAATATGTTTGCAACGGCAACGCACCTGTGACTCCTCTGGTGTTGCGGGTGTCCATGGACGGCGCTGATCGCTTACCATCAGGTGATCCGTCTGCCCGTTTGCCTCCTATTCCATAAAAAAAAATATTTGTAAAAGAATAGTCAAGATGTATATATATCCAAAAGTAAAATAAGTCTTCTTAATATCCGAGTATTTACTAGTACCTGTATAATCTTTATAACTTAGTACCAACGTCAACAAATCTTCTCTGACAAACAAACTTCTATTCGCACTTTTAATATTATTAGTTAGGATTTGCAAACTTAATATTCCACGGAGGATCCTTCGCGAGATTATGATAATAAATTCAGTTTTTATCTCGCGTATCTGTTTGCACTTTTGCACTTATAAATTCAATCCAAGCTTAATCGAGTAAAAGAAATTTATTTAAAATATTAAAGGCAAGCTAAATGTAATCTATATATAAAGTAATAATGTTCTCTGAGCCTTTAATGCCTTTGTTATGATTTATTACTCGGTTTTTTTTTATTTAAATACTCTTTTTTTTAATTCGGTTTTTATCAAGGAGTTTTTATCTTTGAAATGACAACCCCATAAATGCCCGTTTAGATCAAACAATGTGTATGTGATATTTTAAAATAAGTTTGTTAAAGTAACATGTAGTTTTTGGCTAACATTAGAATATCGTACGATGTTCAAACAGATTCTTAAGACTTTGACTGCCAATAAAAACTGTTGAAGGTAAATTCTCCGCTAACGTCGGATACCGGTAACCCTCATGGCGTTTAACGTGTTAAATACCCGACCAGACCTGCACAAACATTGTAAAATTAAAATATATTGCATATATGAATTCAAATGCTGTTTTGATTCTGAAAAATATGCTCCACATAAATATTTCGTGAACATTACAATTAATCAACCATCTAGTCACCAAATGTAACGTACTATTAACAATATGTCAACGCTTTTACAAATTAGTGCTGCACCATTGGAATCCCGGATTTTCCGGGATACCGCAAATATTACTATGGGCAATAGTTATGCGGCATGAATATTTCTGACCATAATAAATTATCGCGGACTATATCTTTAGCTGGTATTCCCGTGGTCATAAATAATCCCGGGCTCGGGATCCTCTCAGCTTAATAGTTTGATTGTTTGCTTGCGTCCCATTTTGCACCATTTTCTGATATATTATTTTTCTATTCCGGTTTGTCTGAGTACTAAGCTTTCGTATTTAAAGCTATATTTTTATTTTTGATAAAAATAAATACTGAATATGAGAATTTATTTTAAAGTCATTGTTTTTTCTGTCAGCTGTCTATCGACAGGCACCTCATGTCCCGCTATAGTTAGGATGTCTAATATTTTACAATCAGTATATGAAATAAACTTTTACATTTTAGCATAATTACAAAACTGTGACACGTAAAATTCAGTTTTTCCGTATTAAAACTCTTAATCCCGTAGCTTTTTACTCCGGACATTCATACGACTCCCCCGGGACTTAATCGCTTACTAAACACGGAGTTTACTACAGAAATTCCCGTAACTTTACACTATTCAGGCAACACTAACTGACGAATAAAAAAATGTGTTAAAAATCGCACGTTTGCTAGACAACTATTATTCTCATTTGTTGTGAAATACATTTTCTTGGCGCTTACCACTGTGGCGATTTAGCTCTGTCGCCCCGGGCCGCCCTACAGTGGACTAGGGTTGTACTTTATGTATTTTTTCGTGTTGAGAAATTGTTTAGAGGTGATGTTTATAATTTAGGTTAAGTGTTGTCACTAATATCTTCCGATTCACTTCGTTGCGGGAACCAAGACAGTTACTCATGTCCCTGGAACGCGCCGGACTTCAGTGTTCCGGTGTTTTCATGGTTGTATCTACTGTAGATCCTGGCTTACAAGAGTTGCAGCGGTTTTGGAAGGTTGTGGCGGGCTTGTTCCATAAAAAAAAAGTGTTGTCACTATTTAGCTCGTGCACCATTTCAACGTCTTTGGGTATGTGTGAGGACGAGTACAAAAACAACCATACGGGACCATCATTTATTTGCGACTAAATATAATATGTGTCGAGTTTTATTCACAGACGCAGCAGTGTGACGCAATATATCTAACTGCTGCCTAAGCACATTGGACCTGTGTCCTTACAATATTTTTTTTAACCATTAATTCCTCTTTAGTATGCAGGACCAGAACTGCTAACGCTTGTTACATCTCTGGCACGTGTTTCGAAACTATTACTAATACTGTTACAATCACAACATAATTGCCTTACAGGAAAGTAAATTGTAGTATTTTCCTTACCATCCAACTAATTAACACGCTTGATAAATGTTGAACGTCCAATAATTAACAGTTTACACGTGTATATGAACCGCTAACAAACTAGCAATTACGTCTATCATCAAAATCTCAAAATTAACACCGAAAAGCCATTTCCACAGAAATCACCGTCCACTATATCAGGAACTAACTTCCACCAAATGTCTGAAATTAGTCGAATAATCGCCTAAACGAATCAGTCCGCGCAATAACGAACATCCCTAGTCCAGCAAACTTTAGCCAAGCACTCGACATCTGCTGCAATGCAATTTAAACTTTATTCCTTAAGGATTACGATCCACAACGATTGCAAAGTGTGTAAGCTGTTGTTGGTACCGTAATCTTGGAAATGCAAAGTGCAAGGATGTACACAAGAAGTAGAACATTAATCCGAGACGTTTTAAAAGTTTTTCATTGAAAGTAAATGTTTTTTACTTACCGTTTCGTTGGCAAAGTAAATATTTTTTAAGTCCGAAGCTGTTATAATGCGCTGTTGAATAACAGTCATTAAAGTTTATTTTTCCACCGCTTCTAAGTTAAAATTGTAATTGAAACGGTGTTGTACTTTTTACGATTGCAGTGAATAACAGAACTGTTAAATTCATCTCTAAAGCTTTTTATTAACTTAAGGTCTGATCTTCTTTTCAAACTCAATTACGTGTTTCGAAAATATTTGACAAATCCACTGTGGATATATTGACCGTTTATTGTAGTCTTTTCTTATTTAGCTCTTATCCGAAGCAAACTAATCAGAGAGACCTAAATCCCTAAATAATGCCTAATCCCACTTAATAAACGTATCAATACTTATACGAGTTTGGAATATTAGACGTCTCTTGTGTAAGACATTTATTTGATTTCACTTGGTCTGTGTATAGTGTTGGACGACCCCGGGACTTTTACAGGACACTTTGAACGACCTTTACGAAATAATTGTTCTAGAATTGTTGAATATTAACAATAATAAAGTTCTAGAGTTATATTAATAATGTTCGACTTTTGATTCTACCTCTATGCTACAATACTGCGAGAGAAGACATTGGATGATTCCCCCCCCCCCCTCAAAAAAAAATCATAGTTTTATTTTGGAGTTCTCTAATACGCTTATTGATTTCTTGAAGTGGTGGAAAAATTACAGTGGACAGAATATGCTTATGCTATTTAGGAAAAAATAGATATTCAACATTTTTGGTGCATCTTAAAAATACTCAAAATACTTTTCTATCTATCTCATCTTTCTCGTACGTATCTTCAAACCTTGACTAATTGCCACCTTTCCACCAGGTATGCAGTCCCGCTACCAAGTGTCTCCGATGGACGCTGCAGCAGGACCGGCGGCTAACGGAGCTGTTCTCCGCATTGAACCGGTACGAGCTCAACGCGATGATGCTACTTATGAGTGCGTGGCGGAGAATGGCGTCGGTGATGCTGTCACTGCTGTAGCTACCCTGACTGTGTTTGAAGGTAAGTGACTTTAGTTTGTAATGAAAATGAGTGATATGGTAATCGAATAGGTTGTGAACACAATTCCAATGGGTTGTGAACAAAATTTTAATGGGTTGTCAACAAAATGTAATGTTTTCAGCATTTCGGATAAATCAATAAACATTTACATTATAGTAATTATTGTACTTATTCATCTGTGGAGCGACAAAAAGCCTATAAACACGCATGAAACAATTCGTTTATATGTGGCAGTACTTTTGTAGCACACCTTCTTTGTGGCTCATACTGATGATCAAAAATGTCAACCTAGCGTATTTTGTTATAATATTCCAAAAACATTTTTACAACAAATAAAAATAGAGCAATCAACCAACAAATCTACTAAACAGAAAATAAAGCGAACGAAAATGAGCAAACTCTTAACCTATTCTACCATAAACTGCAGTAGTTTTAACACTCACGAACACAATGGCCAATACGTTAGAAGCACTAAACAAGGGAACTATTTCTCGTAACTATAGCTAGTGGACGAAAATCCACTAGAAATGTTTACGACTCCGGACCGTGGTATCTATCCTTCATATATATGTTATCCCTTCCTGCTAAGGATAGTAGGATAAGTCCTCTACAGTTTTATCCACACTTTTATAAGTTGTTGGGAGAAGATTTTGTCTCTCTAAACTTCGGTAGAATGGACGTTGGATATTTTAAAAAAGGATTAAATGTGATGGAAATTGGACTTATGTATAAAAATTTTAAACGAAAGGTATTGACTGTTGTTTGATCTGTTATAAAACGTAAATTATGTCACAGATTTAATGATTAGTTGTTATGTAAAATTGGAAAAAACATTCAGGTTACAAATTAGATCAATTCTAGCGTCCATACAAAAGAAGTTGCGGATCATAGCTTAGCTAGTCTTTCCTATAACCAATAAATCTCTTTTCCAACCAACAAACTACCATAGAACTCCACCAAAATCTCAGTCCATAAAAACCCCATCCCATAACTCCGTACAGAAGCACTGCTTGACAATAACTTGTAACATAAAGTGGGGACAAAACCCACATTCCTCGTCACCTTCGTGATTCCTTTTCTACAGTGGCTCACGGTAACTACCGTCTAGAACATAAAACACGGTCGCCGAGGACACAATGATCCTTCCGGGGTATAACTTTGCCCCAAGACTCTGGGCTTTCAATAAATAAGCATTAAAAAGCGAACGCCGACGTTTGGGCGATAACGAGCCACAGTCTAAGATATATACAGTAGGTCTATGGCTGCTAATTGGTTCGTATTCCGTCCTGATTGCCCGTGATAATTGCTTCACTGATTTGTTAGCGTCTTTTTACGCTTTTAAGTGCGATGTAATGTTTATTGTTTGCCGGCGTTTGCCTATTTAGAGATAAAACTGTTGAATATTTTTGTTAGTGTGACAATTTTGTGAACTAATTGATGGTGACCGACAACAGTGATATATTGTACAAATGTAATTAGAAAACAAATCTGTCATAGAAACAAATCCACGTAAATAACCGTCAAAATCAACGCAAATGCGTATTTTATACGTCAAACATGGCGTTAACAAATCCACGTGGATTATCCAGCTGCAAATCGGTAGTCTGTGTGATGTTGAAAATTGTCGGTTGTCGACGAAATACAATGACAATTTCTCGTTGTAAATGAGAGTTGCGGAATTATTATCGTGATAAGTTAAGTTCCCGATTTACTGCGGTACCACATCGCTGTGTAATTGACGACTAAATCGCGATAATGACGTCATAAGTCAGGTCTGTCGGGAGCCGCATTCAGCCCCTTTGCATACATTTGCGGGGAATTAGTCGTGAGTTGTTTTGCGATTGAGATGTGACTTGTGACGTCACGGTGAAGATGTTAATTGATACTTTAATGTTCGTATTTAAGGAGCGAGGGGTTAAGGTAATTTTGTTTCGGGTTTTATTGCGTTTTGAGTCGGTGTTTTGGTAATATTCTTCCGTAATAATTAATATTTATGGTGAATGTCGGCTGTTATTATGGTAGACTTATTTATTAAATGAAATTATTGTGTCGTTTCTAGATGTGTAGTACAAAATAAGTAAAAAGAATTCAGCTCAATTTCCTACCGCCTATTACATGGGACTCATAACGTAAATAGTGAAAAGTGGGTGTTACATTGTACAGTGGCATTAAGTGCTGTAATGTGCACCTCTGCCTACCGCTTCATGGACAAAAGGCGTGAAGTTATGTTATGTTTCCGAATCAAATAGAAACTTTTTCATTTTAATAGAACTACCATATTGAATCTAAACTTAGGTCTATATTTAAAATGAACATTCTAGAACTCGGAACTCGGCTATGGTCCCAGTAAAGTTGTATGCAGTTCTTAAGACGTGTGAATTGACAGAGAAGAATGGCTCTCAAAGAAGTTTCAGCAGAAATCGATATATATTGCACTGCTGGGCGATACATTATGTAAACTGAGCCGGAGTGATGTATGCGTTTTGAAATAATGTTGTTGCTCTTATAAAAGGGTATGACGTCACACATTTTAATCCATGTAGTGAGTAAAAAGAGTGCATATAAACCATTTGACACCCACTTTTCACCATATTACAAGAATTCCATGTAATATAATTATGACCATACAAAGTCAAAGTCAAAGTCATTTATTGCAATTAGACCAGAAAGGCACTTTTGAACGTCAATAAAAAAAAATAAAAGTGAAGCTATTTGCTCATTCCAAGGTGTAGATTCCTATGGAGAAGAACGAGCAAGAAACTCCAAAGGCCCCCCCTTCCCTAATCTCCCCAAACCCTCAATCCTCAAAAAACCTCAAATTTCTAATTCCCAAAAGGCCAGTAACGCACTTATAACGCCAGGTGTCCATGGGCGTCGCCGAATGCTTACCATCGGGTGATCCGCTTGCTCTTTTCCTGGCTTTATTAAAATACCAATTCGAAAATCCTGAAAACCCTACATAGATAGAAAGAAAGAAGAAAGAAAGAAAGAAAAAACATTTAATTGACAATTGACACACACGATTATAAAAAATAAAAATACAGATATATAAACAAAATACTAATAATAAACTTAAAAGAATAGACATCAGAACAAAAAACAGTGAAGTAACAAAATAATAAAACAATGAAACAGAATTTTGAATATACAAAAAAAAAAACAAAGAAAAAAAATAATAAAATCAATTTGCGCGTGCTCATGACAAAAGGGCCTCCATCTCAGCATATATACCTCAGCATAGATTTATTCTACTCACAAATCAAACTTCACCTTCTGCTAAACAGTCACACTTGCAAAACCCCACCACGGAAGCAGTCAAGAAGCAGACATCATGATATTATTCATTCAAAGTACTTTGACCAACCACTTTTTTAAACACAACATTTTATTTAAACATTCAGTCTACATTCGATTGTACTGACCTACTCCCTCTAATCGATTCCGTATCTCACCTCCGAGGGCCGTATCTAGAATATACTTAAATCTACGTCCTTTTACATTGTAAGCGCAGATCGTACGATCACAGGGCCCTCCCTAAGGGTCCAAGGTAAATTGCGTGGGGACATTAGTACAGTGACACATCAAGTTATACGAAACCATTTTATCATGGTCTTGCTCTGTATGATACTGCAGGACATTCCACGGTCAGTTTATACTGGTTATGTTTAGCTTGATATGTGTTTATACCAGTGTAGCATACATTCTAAATAAATTCGGGGTTTTAAAAGTTTTGTTGAACAAATTGTATTCTTGTATTCTTTTTTAGTGGTAGGTGCTTTATTTGTTGTTCGGAATGTGGGTTAAACTCGAGAGATGTCTTTGTGTTGTTTATGGCTTCTATAAGTCGTAAATGGGGCTTAAGTAGGTATATGATTAATTACATATATTTTAACACATTGCAAGGATAATCGGGTGGATAATGGTTTGTCAAAACTAGAAACTTATAGCCAGAATCTTATAGTGTAGTATTCATAGTAGCAGTCTCTAAATACAATCAGGATTCAAAAGAAAACTATAATTACTTTAGTTTAATAAAGAAAACATGCGTGTAAAATAAACAGTGAGTATATAAAATAACATTGTCAATAAAATAATTTAAACATTCACTTTTGTCACTAATGACTTAACCCTCGAAAGTCCACAATGGAAAAAATACCTACATTTAAAATTAATATAAAAGGACATTTAAAAATTACTGAAATAATTTTAATAACGGACGGCACACAATGCACGGCGGGTTCTGCATAATTTATTGTAATCCGACCGTGGAGTGATTTCAGACAATTTTAAATTTAACAATGAGAACTGATGACTGTACCAAGATGGATGCAAACAGAATTAAATACGTAATTCTGAATTTATTTTTTGTTAATTTATAGTTTAATGAAACTTTTTAATTGAGTTTCAAATTGTAATAAAAATTATAAGTATTATGTTTTACTTTCAACTGGCTTCAAAAAGGAGATCCTTGCTGCTCAGGATCCATTAAAAATATAGCTATGTTTACTTCATAACATAAAGTAACAAGTTCGATAACACTAATGTGTTATCCAACTTGTTATTTTCTTGTTAAAATAGATACTCAAGTCTAATCTAGATTTACATTTGATAGATATTATTAACAATCTGATATTACACCGCGGCCTTTAAAAATATTGCTCTTTTTTTATAGAATGTCTATAAAATTTACATTCTCTCTTTTTTAGTTAAGTTTATTAGGTTAGGCACACTAAAACCTCTTTATTCGTGTATCCCAGCTTTATCTTCCTCTTCCTTGCACAGCGTACAAGTTGTAAACGTCAAGTAATCGTAATGTATTAGTACCGCAATGTACGTGTCCTTACATAGGCACGAACGAACAATGCCTTCAATGACAAATGAGTTCTAACCCCTATAACATAAAGTCTAATTTTGATGCACTCGTCAATGCATTCCTTGCTAACCGATTTGCAACCCTAACGTCAAAGTCGTCATATAAATTGATCAATCAAAATTGAATG